GGAAACTTGGCCCAAGGCCTGCAGGCATTGATGGAATGCTCCTAACAGAGAACAGCAAATTTAGCCCTCACTGACACCACTGCTGGATTCACCTTGGTTTATAGTCAGCTCGTGCTAAACCACACGTTATAGTTCTCATGCACAGATGTATCAGGGCAGTATCTGGGTTGCAAACACACCAGGGAAAAAGCTCACCTGCTAATAACAGCAAACCAGATTTGGGTCTGTGCTGCTGGAGGTCCCAGTGCAGGGAGGAAGGGAAGCAGCTTCCACAGCTCCTACCCGGGAGCAGCTGGTTTTTGTGTTGCACAAGCTACTATGGCTGCTTTGATATGAACTCTACCTTCAGCAGCCTTTTACAGGGACACAGCACTGCTGGAGCAGAAGTGTGCCCCATTCATGGTCTTCTCCACCTTCTGTAACCCCATTTCCAACCCAGAAAGCCTTCCCTGCAGAGGAAATAGAATCATAAATCACAGAATGGTTTGGGTTGGAAGGGACCTTAAAAATCATCTCGTTCCACTTCCCTGCCATTGGCAGGGACACCTTCCACTAGACCAGGTTGTTCCAAGCCCCATCCAACCAGGCCTTGAACACTTTCAGGGATGGGGCAGCCACAGTTTCTCTGGGCAAATGAAGGAGGTGATGATGAAACTTAGCTCTGATGTTACTTTCGTAGTAACCAATTGACCTGCTTACCCTACCAAACAAAAAAGACACAATCAACTGAAAATCATAGTCCCTCTTCAATGCTCTGTGGCCTAGTCTGCCAAGAAAACCAGCACTATTGCAAGAACACTACAAATTTTCAGTTAAAATGGCCAGAGTTCAGTATTTCATTGCTAACAATCTGGTGTGTGTGTTGACAGAGGCAGTGGGAGTGTGTGAACACACAGGTTCACCCTCTGCCTCCACAGTGATCCCTGTGGTAATTCCATCTGTGTTTCAGCACAGACAGTGCCTGGCCACAGCCATCTCTTCCAGGTTTCTCTATCTATTCACTGGCAAGGACAAAGCTGGTAGAAACTAGACTCAGTAAATGGCTTCAATTTTGTGGCCAGAGGTTGCCAGGACAAGGAAGAGAAAACTGCCAACTATGTCTCCTCTGAACAGTCTGGATCTTTTAACAAGGACATGGGAGCTGAACGTGGAAAACCGAGAGAGAGGGAAATGAACCTTCTCCTCTTCCCAGCCACAAAGATCACTCCAGAGAATCCCAGAATCATTGAGGCTGGAAAAGACCTCTGAGACCATCAAGTCCAACCTGTGACTGATCCCCACCTTGTCAGCCAGACCACAGCACTGAGTGCCACGTCCAGTCGTTCCTTGAACACTTCCAGGGATGGGGACTCCACCATCTCCCTGGGCAGCCCATTCCAAAGCCTGACAGCACTTTCTGTGAAGAAATGCCTCATGACCAGGGATGTTGTAACTCAACATGCAAAAACCAATGGCACTGCATGAAAGAGGGTTCAAGGAATATTCTGGAATGTTGGCTTTTTCTGGCTCTGTGGCAGCTGTTTCTGGTCTCCACTACCCAGGAAGGGAACAAACTCCATGTCCACAGAGGGGTAACACAGAACACACCTCACAGCAGTAATTGCACTTTCACAGGCTTAATGAAAATGAGAAGCTGGGGGAACAGGGACCCAAATGAGTGTCAGCCCTGAGGAAAGCACAGGCAGGATTCCACTGCTGGGTATTCCACATAGTGGGCACCAACCTGCCCACTACACACCCCTTCCAAGACCTTCTGGGTCATACAGGATCACAATGGTGAGTTTTGAGGGATAGCTCTGAGGAACAGAAAGGACTTGAGCACCAATGAAAACAGACTTCATTTTTTGGTACAACTTAATTTTGTCAGCCAGTTGCAATGACTATGAACTCTTTGTAGGCAGCTGTGGCAGTGGGTGACTTTTTCCCTGTGATATGAGAATTTCCATGGAAAGAGGTGCTGGTTTACAGATCTTGTGACTGTGGTGACAGGAGGGGGTGAAGAATGAGGGCTAAGAAAGGAGGAAACCTGCCAGGCAGTGGTGGCAAGCACTGACAAAAAGAAGGACTGACCTCTGGCTCTGGTCACCTGTGATAGAAGGTGTGATTCTGGTCTTTTACAAACTGAAATTGCAATTAAGTATCTCCATCTCCCCTAGTCTACTAAAGGAATGGTTTCAGGGGGATTGTAGCACAGGAAAATAAGATGAAAAATCATTGCTTTGATTGTTGTTTTTTTCCAAATAACTTTCTACACCATTTTTTTTCTATTTCACCTGAAATAATCTTTCTCCCTAAGTTTTACAGGTTTGCTTCCCCCCACAGCCTAAGCATTTATCCCATCATGAGAACTGCATCTTCAAAGCAGTAGCTAACAGGTAAGATCTCTCCCTTCCTGTCTTCTACTGGCCTGAACTGTGCAAAGTGCCTAAAGCCTTCCTTGAGGGCATGGATATAGGGGGAGTTCACAGATCTCATCAATTTTGTACTAGAGATCTGATGCAAGGAGAGGTTCACAGTTCTCCTCCCTGGGGGACAGCCTGCTTTATCTAAGACACCACAGTTAAATATGCTCACTATGTGCTGTGATGTTGGGCAAAAATAGCCTGATAAAATAGATTAAATGCTCTGTTTTTCTTCTTCTCCCTGCTATAGATCTCAAAACCATTAAACGTTGCGTGACCTCAACCCACAGCTTGTAAGCAGAACCAATGAACCCTCATTATTCCTTATAACTACCTGGTTTACCCCTTGCTCTGTGCCCTAAAACATCAATTGTGTGTCCCTTTGTGCCATCCAAAGAAACACATCACTGCCTCCACCTACAGATAAAGAAAGAGACCTCACACAGGGACTTTGAGCAGTTCTTTGCTCCTACAGCAGGATCAGCACCAGCAACAAGGCAATTCCAGACAAGCTGGGAGACATCCTGGGTACAAGAGGTTTCACTCTCCTGCACCATGGATGCTCACAGTTTCCTTCAGTAATTTGTTAATTGGGAGGAATTTTCACTTGCGGCCGTCCCAAGTGAACCCCGGACTGGATTCTCTGAGCGCCCTGTGCTGCTGAGGGACTGGATTTTTCCTTTGAGGTCGCTGTATCCCAGCCCTTCAGCGGGAAGGAGTCACCCCAGGACAGCAGGAAATTCGCGCAGAAAACATCCACCTTCTGCGAGGGTCCCAAGAGAGGGACCATCCCTCTGCCTTCCGCTGCTGGTTTCCTAATGAGGCTAAAAATCCATTAATTACGTCTCTGCCTCGCGGGGTGACAGCGGAGGAGTAACCGGGAGGCACCGGGACAGGGATGGGGATCGGGATGGGGACGGGGACCGGGACCGCGGCCGCCGGGTGCCCTCTGCCGGGACCGCCGCGCCGCTCTCCCGGTCCCTGCCCATGCCCAGTCAGCAGCCGCCTGCTGGGACCAGTGAGAGAACCCGAGGGAACAGCTGGAACTGTGTCAGGGCAGGGTTAGGTTGGATATTAGGAAAAGGTTCTTCCCCCAGAGGGTGATTTGGCACTGAACAGGCTCCCCAGGGCAGTGGTCACGGCCCCAAGGCTGCCAGAGCTCAAGGAGTGGACAATGCTCTCAGGGACAAGGTGGGATTGTTGGGGTGTCTGTGCAGGGCCAGGAGCTGCACTGATGATCCTTGTGGGTCCCTTCCAACTTAGGATATTCTGTGGTCCCCCTGCAGTCCCCTGCCTCCAGGAGTAGCCAGGGCCATAAAAGCTACTGAGTTAGGAGGTGCGGGGTCCTGCGGGATGTCTGTCCTATAAAAAGCATTCCCAGGCTGGTTGGAGAAGTCTCCAGAGTGTCCTGTCAATGCTGTCACGTGTGCAGCATCAGCACAGGGCTCAAACAAGCACCTCTGTGGGTCCCACTGGGGCAGGGCACTTCCATCAATTCCATGAATGCATTCCTGCTCGGGGTTATCTCCCCGTGCAAAGGCAGCGCCTGCCCCAGCGCGGTGCCAGCGGGTTCTGTGCTGGTGTGAGCTGGTCACAAGCGCTGGGGAGGAAGAACTGCTGGCAGCTGTCAGGCAGGAATGTGATTCCAGGGATGCTTCTGAGTGCCTGGGTGAGTCATGGGGGTTCCATACCCGACTTGAGATAACCATCACGGAGCAGCGACAGTGACCAGGTGCCCCGAAGAGGGACAAATTCTCCGCTGCAGCAGGAGCTCGTGTGTCTCCCCAAAACACAGTGCTCACATGAGGTGCTGCTGTCAGCATGGAGTGTGGGCTCTGTACATGCTGCCAATTTGTCCCTCTTCTCAAAACTTCCCTGTGAGGGTGGTGAGGCCCTGGCACAGGTTGCTCAGAGAAGCTGTGGTTGCCCCATCCCTGGAAGTGTCCAAGGCCAGGTTGGGTGGGGCTTAGAGCAACCTGGGTTAGTGGAAGGTGTCCCTGAACATTGCAGGGAAGTGGAACGAGATGGTCTTCAAGGTCCCTTCCAAGCCAATCCACTCCTTGATTCCATGATTCTGAGAGCTCACACTGCTTCCTAGAGCTGCTTAGTTTTAATCAGGGAGAGGACAAGGCGCTGCACGTTAAATGCTGCTCATTCACTAGTCTACAAAAAGACAGGAGAGGCTGCACCTGTGCAGGGCATCTCCATGGAGGATGGATCTTAACATTCAGGCACAGCTTGTCCTCCTGCGTTAGGATGGGAATATCCTAATGAGCTCAATTATTCTGTACAGCGTGATTAGGACTTCTGTGGTCCTTGCTGGTCCCTTCCAGCTCAGGATATTCCATGATCCTGTTATTCTCATGTGTTGCATTTCACAGGTGCAATCACAGTGATAAATGACAGTGATGGCTTAGCACACACAAACTGATATTTTTTTCTGAATTTACACAAGTGCTGCACTCACTACGGCACAGAATCCACACTGGAGTCGCAACCCGGCTGGAAACCCACTGCCATATCCCGATATCCTGGCTGATAACCCCCTGGGACAGGGGATCCCTGACCCTCCAGCTGCACATCCGGAGCATCTGTGCGATGCTGAGGTGCACCCGTGCCCTCTGGCTGGCTGACCCTTCCCCGGAAGGACACGAGGAGCAGAGCCCTGCGTGCCCAACACCCTGTGACCGCCCTGGCCGGGTTATCCCGGCATCCCCATCCCCACCGTTCCCGCACAGCCGCCGGTGCAGCCCACATGGCGCGGCGCGAACTACAATTCCCATGATGCCTCACAACAACAAAAAACGCGCCCGCCCTCGGCCCAGCGGGGCGCGCCGCGGTGCACGCCGGGATTTTAGTTCTTTTACCGCCGCTCGCCGCCCACGATCCGTAACGCGCCCCCTGGAGGACTCGCCTCCCCGTGACGCTCCTCGCGCGGTGACGCGCGCGGGCGCGCCGGCGGCGCGGGGCGCGGGCCATGTCGGAGAGCGCGGCGCGCGGCGGGGCCGCCCGGCGGGCGGCGGGTGGCGCGGGGGCCGCGGCCGACCACCGACCCGGCCTCGCTGCCTCCCGGCGACCGCGCAGCTCATCGCCATCATCGTGGAGCAGCTCAAGAGCCGCGGCCTCTTCGACGGCTTCCGCCGGGACTGCCTGGCCGACGTGGACACCAAGGTACGGCCGGGCCGGGGACCCCCCGCACCCCGCGGGTCCCGCACTCGGGGGCTGCTCTCTCTGCCCGCGATGTTTCGTGGCCCCGCTGTGACCCCCACCCGAGGCTGTTCCCGAGGAGATCCCGGCTTGGAGCGATATCCACAACCCAGGGGAGGAACAGGCCCGAGAACAGGCTCAGCCTTTCATGTCCCAGCCCAGGCCTTATTAGGAAAAGAGTTTCCCATAAGAACAGTGCTGCTTTTTAGCCTATTCCTATATTTCCAGTACTCATTCCTGTATTTCCAGTTTTCAAACCCAGACACTTTCATCATCAAACATCAGACCTTTCTCTGCTGAGACTCAGACTGTTCTATTTCTCAGACACTAACTCTCTGACATTAATTTCTTCTCAGCCACCACGTGAACCCCTGAGCATTTGTTGCCTGCATGAAGTTGGGTTGTTCACAGTTGCCCTGTCAAAATTCAGCACTTGTTGGATTTTGCTTTCCCCAGACTTTTTACTCTTTCAGCAAGAGCCCCATCCTGGGAGCTGCAGGCGTCATCCAGGCCCAGCAACAAACCACTCCTGGAGCTGTCAGGTCACCTGCACAGAGCAGCTTTGTCAGTGCTACCCAGGACAGACACCACACCTCTGTCACCAGCCCATCCTCCCATAGGCACGTCAGACCCTGAAATATAAATATCACCCTTTTGTCCTTTCCTTGCATCCAGGATGTGGATGGTCCTGTGTATTTATATGGGTTTGTTAGTTAAATTCCTGTTAAGTGCAATTAAGTTCCCTCAGATAAAACTCAAATAATTATCTCCTTATTCTTATATGTTCCTAACTTCTCTGTTAGTGCCACAGAGGCAAATAATTCAAGTTCTTTGTTAGTGAAATTGCTCAGCCAGTTTCCGAGGAATTCTGGGACGGAGGGTTTGCAGACAACAAGAACTTTACTTAAACAACTCCTGTCTGCACAGTTTTCATTTCACTAAGTAATACCATGAGCAGACAACAATTTAAAAACCAATCTGTCCAGATATTTGAATTATTGTAACAACACCCTGAGTGTTCTGTGCCAGTTGTGTTCTCAGGCAAAACAAGATTCTCTTTGTTCGGAGAGTGAAAGGAGGGAGAATATAGACAACAGAGCAGTCTGTATGTGACAGCAGATGAATTGTGAAGGGCCCTGGCAGGACACTGCTTTGAGGTATTTTAGCTGTTCAACTGGATTTATTTTGATTTTTTTTTTTAGCCAGCCTATCAAAATTTGAGGCAGAAAGTCGACAACTTTGTATCGACCCACCTGGACAAACAGGAATGGAACCCAGCCATGAACAAAAACCAGCTACGGAACGGGCTCAGGCAGAGTGTGATTCAGTAAGTGAGCACAGTCTGTAAAATGGCACTGAAGCTGCTGGATAAGTAACACATCCCCTAAGCCAAGTAAGAGTTTGCAGAATTAAGCTTTTCACAAGACTTTCTGCCGTGCTCTCCTGAGTTTCATTATAATAGGTGTTGCAATCTCAAAATGCACATTATTACTTTATCTGAAATTGGTATTTTTGACTGGTGAAGTGTTTGTATTTGCTGTCCTGCCAAACTATTGCTGCAAATAGCCAATGCTGTGCCTGATGTACTGAGCTGAATGGCCTTGATCTTTATCTTCAGAAAAGGGAAGAGGCTTTAAAGAAAGAATCCTGAAGATGCCAAAGCTTGTGTGTGTAGACTCCAACCACTGTCAGGCAACAATCACCTCATCTCTTGCAGCAGAGAAAAGCTTTTGTTCAGCTATTTTGAGATACTACATTGAGGGCCACCAAGATGATCAGCCTTTCCTCATAGGAGGAATTAGGATTGTTCAGCCTGGAAAAGAGAAGGCTCTGGGGTGACCTAATGGTGGCCTTCCAGTACCTGAAGGGAGCCTGCAAGAAAGATGGAGAGAGACTTTGTACAAGGGTTTGGAGTGACAGGACAAGGGGGAACGTCTTCAAACTGACAGAGAGTACATTTAGATTGGATATTAGGAAGAAATTCTTCCCTGTGAGGGCGGTGAGGCCCTGGCACAGGTTGCCCAGAGAAGCTGTGGCTGCCCCATCCCTGGAAGTGTTCAGGGCCAGGTTGGGTGGGGCTTGGAGCAACCTGGGATAGTAGAAGGTGTGGAACTGGATGATCTTTAAGGTCCCTTCCAACACAAACCATTCTGGGATTCTATGATTGATTTCCAGCATGAAATCAGAGAAAGCCAGATTAAACTGCTGCTGAAAGAATTAGGTTTAGTATCTCTTGCTGCTGCCTCCTGGCAGTCTGAAATATGAGCTTTGGCTTATTAGAAGGAGAAAACCTTTATGGTAAAAGGCATGGGGAGAGAGGCAGTTGAGAACTCGATCATGGCACTTTTGCTTCTAAGGAAAACTAACAGAATGTCTGGGACACAGAACAAACTGTTTCAAGAGCACCTCCTAGAACCTGTAAATCACAAGTATATCACATTAGTCTGTTTAATCTGTAACTAGAGAAGGGATGTTCTCCAATAGAAGTACAGAATTTCCTGTCATTACTCAGAGTCCTTGAGATACTTTTGTCTCAATGCTCGCTCTTATTTCATGTTACTGTACCACAAGAATTAAGTGGATAGTTGAAGAATGTTACATCAGAGAGCCTTTGGTGAGTGTAAAGTGCTCTTAAGCAGGCCATTAGTGTGAAGAGTATACCCAGTATTGGGGAGTTTGAAGGGTCCCTGTCACTCCTGGAGTTGCAAGACTGAGCTCTGAGGGAGTCCAGATATGTTTCATGCAGGTACAGCTGTGCTGTCACCTGGAGGTGACACGATGTGCCCTGACCCTGCCCCCTCTCACTCACCAGCTTTCATGGCCTTAATAGTCCTGTGGCTCCTTTTCCCAGTGCCAGGCAACATCTCCATTTCCTGTCCCCTGCTCCCTTGCAGACATGACTTAAGCCTTCTAGACAGCCTGTGGCCCACAATCCAAGAGTCTGACGCAGCCCCTGAAGTAATAAGTCACTTCAATTACTAGTGTTCAGTCCAGAAACTTTGCTGTGTGCTCAATGTCTTGTTTTTATAATTAATACCCATCTGTCTAGACTAACAGTTACAAGGAGCGAGTGACAGTCCTGTTATTAGGGGGCAGGGCTCTTCTCCCTCTGGTCAGCCAAAGAAAAGACTGTGCTCTCACCTGCCCTCCTCCTCAGAATAGCTTGTTTCTCTTGTTTGTGCCAAAATGTGTTTATTTGCTTTCATGTTGACCTCATTCCCACATGAGCCCTATTAAAAGTGGCTCTTGTCCAACGTGTCATTTAAGTACCTGGGAGACCAGATGTGAGTTGTTAATTCTGTAGGGAGCAGTGAGAGGGGGTGAGGGGAAATAGGTGATTGAAACAACTCCCTGTTAAGGATCTACTGAGTAGGCTGCAGTTCTCACCATGTTAATGCTAATTGCAGTTGACAGGAGGGCTCTGGAGAATTACTGGAGGAGATCGGGGAGAAGTTTTTCGGAGGAGCTGAATGACTTCTTTGTCTTTGTTCAAGGTCAGGAATGCTGGAAGCTGGAGTGGACAGAATTATTTCTCAGGTGGTGGATCCAAAACTAAACCACATCTTCAGGCCCCAGATAGAGAGGGCGATTCATGAATTTTTGGCTGCACAAAAGAAAGAGGAAAGTGTGCCAGCTCCTCCTCCAGAGCCTGAGAACAAGGATCCTCCTGCTCCATCTCAGGATGCCTCCTAAAGGTCTTGTATCTCTGCACTTACTGCTTACATTTTTCATGTACCTCATCTCTCTATAATGCAAGATAGAGGAGACATTGGTTCTCCCTGGCTTGGCAGGGAGGACACTTTGATCAGCAGCGTGTTGTCAATGTCACAGTCATCTGAGCTGCTCCCACTGAAGTGTCTGCTAAAAATACACTGGGACTGAAGACATAGGTGTGATGTAAAACAGCTATCAAGGAACACTGTAGACTCTGCCAGTGCTGATTTTAGAGCAGGCCAAAAGGCCTTTTATTCCAGTAAAGCACATCCAAAAGAAAAAAAAAAGCATATCCAGCAGCGACTGACTTGAAATTGGCTCGTTAGCCTTCAGAACTATATCAAATGGATTAAAAATATATATCCTTTACTGAAACACAGCCAAAAGTAGAGTGGTGACAAGTTATTGTGCTTTAGCATTGAAAGGTTTAGATATCTCTTCTTTGGAACATACACTGGAGTGTTGAATTGTTAGTGACCGAAATAATCCCCAGTCGGGTAAGGGTAACATCTCTGGGGTGAATAAGTTCATTCCAAATTAACTGGTTTAAACAGAGCAACCTGTCTCTTTCCAGCTGAAAGGACTGAGGGTGCCTTTGTTGCAAACAAGTTCATTCTGGCTTTTGTGATTAAAATAACTCCAGGGACCATAATTGCTACTCTGTCTTAGCACAAATGACTATGTGCCCATCTTTGCTAAGGCCCGGGATCTAAACGTTGGTTTTAATATTGAGGCCCATGTGCACACTACTGAGGAACCACTATCTTGATGGGAAATTCCAATCTGCAGCTTTGCTAGGGAACCTAAAGCCATACTGCATGAAAGGAAGTTAATTGTCAATTGTTCCATCTGCCAGGCTTTCTGAAAGCAAAAATATTCTTTCTCATCTACAGCTGATTTATTAAGAAGGAACAAGTAACCTACAATAGCTATTCCAATGCCTGGAATTACTAGAGCAACTAGCATGGGGTTTGGCTCAACAGTGTAAGTTTTAAGTGCCTGTACTGTCATCCTGAGGTTTTTACCTTTGACTTGCAGCTTTAAGGCCTGAGATCTTCACATTTATGTGGTTCAGGTAGTTTAAAAGTCCATTATAACCCTCAGCAAAGTGCAGCTGTTAATGTATTCTAGTCTGTCCAGATGCAATGACTTGTACCTGTACGTCCTCTAAACTCTCTTTTTTTTCTTGCAGGGAGTTCTGATACTGAGCAGCTGCAGTTGCAACATGCCCTGTTAGATTGGCAACGGATTGCTGTTCCCTTTGGTGCAGGACTGCTGTCTGCCAAAGATGAATAACCTTTATCAGACCTGTGGGAAGGCATTGAAATGGTGAAATTCGGGTGCACCTGGAGTTCTGTGTGCAGAGGCACAGCCAGAGTGTGAAGATATTTTTGCTGTGAACTGCAGAGAGCAGCATGTATTCATTAGTCATGGGAGTGGGAAGGAAAAGGGAGTTGGCTGTTGTCTGGAGGGGTTTGAGATGATACTAATAGCATGAAGAAAGGAAAGAGGTTTTGGGGTGGGATATTCAAGTAAGAGCTGTCAGATGTCCTTGGATACAAGCCAGATGAGAGGAAGCATCTTGCACCTTGGCTGCATAACACAGCACTGAGTAGTAGATGCCAAGTCAGGTGTAACTGCCTGCTTTAGGAAGTACATTTCCTGTTTAAAACTGGAAATAAAGCTTCAGGATCAATTATCTAGATAACCTCTGTTGCATCACAGGAACACGTTTACAGTTGGCTATGACTATAGCTGATTTAACTCTTATTTCCTAAGGAGCTCTGGGAAGCAAAGGGCAGCAGAGCAGATGATCAGCTTAAAGACTTCTCTTTCCTGTGAAATTTCTCAGGTGCCTGGTGGAAACTGTCCTATGCTTTCAGCTTGAATGCATGCAGTGTCCTCTGGATGACAGTCAAATAGAGAATGTGATCAACTATTCTGCCAGCAAATGTCCACACCTTTTTGCAATAAAATATTTCAAAAAGCATCTCTGAGCCCTGGCTTTTTTAGATTTTTTTTTTTCTTAAGGAAAAACTACTTAAAGAAATCCCAGAGACCCGACTGCTGGAAACCTGGTGAAAGTGTGACCTTACACAGCTCATGGGTTAATCCAGGTTTAACAATGTGGGCCTGTTTCATATCATGAAATAAGATGGTTATTAGTATTCCTTTCCATATAAGATGTCTTTAAAAAAATCTAAAATATCATGAAGACTGAATGAGTAAAGGACTCTCTCCTGAATGTTGGTTTGGTGGTTAAAGACTGCTCTCCAAATCAGTAGTAGATGTTTTTCCTTAGAGCCTTAAGGGCAGCTCTTGGCAGAAAAAGATCTCTTACCTCCTTGGTAGGGTGTCTCGACCACTTCTTTGAAACTGAGCCATTTATTTGAGGGGAAAAATGCTTCAGGACTCTAGAAAGAGCAAATGAAAAGGATTCTGACTGTGCTTAGGCAAATTCTGTACTACAACAGCAGTAGCCAGGGAGCAAGGACACCAGTTCAGTTTCTAAAAGTAGCAAGTAGAACTGGATTTACTGCAGCAAGGGGGGAATCTGAACCTGCATTTCCTACCTGACGAGTGCTTTAGCAGATGAGTTAAGGAGAACAGACTGAACCATTGTGGTTTTTGAAAGATTTCTCCATTGTTCTCTCTTGACTGTGGTGCTGTGTTAAACTGAGCACTGACACTGCTGTGCCTTTGGTGGGGCTCAGCCTGTGCACAGCTGCAGTGACTATGGGAACCTTCAGAGCAGAACTGAAGCACCTAATGAGTTCAGGCAGCCAATCCACATTTGGGATCATAGGCTTTAATGTTTGAGGTCTGAAGTCCTTGCTTTGGATCACAGCCTTGGAAGTAACAAGCTTTGGAAGTATACCTGACACAATGGGACAGTGACAAAACTTAATGATGAGGAGATGGTAGAGGAAGAGCCCTTTGATGATAAGCATCTGTCCCTGGTGACTGATACAATCAGGATTCCAGCCTCAATAACTCAGTGATAGTATAGAAATCTCAACACCAGAACAAAAGAACAAGTTTGTACCCACTGCAGAAGTGAAACTGTTCCTGTAGCAGAATGTTGGACTAAAGTTAGTGTATGATTCAGTTTTTGCTGTGCTGGATGTGTTAAAGACAGTCTGAGGAGTTTGCTGAGGCAGAGGGGCCTAAGACACTTGAATTCAAGAAGCAGTTCTCACATTGTGCAGACATCTCAGTTTAAGCAGCACTTGCAGCACTGCAGAACTTTCCTTACTTTCACACCATCTATGTTCCCTTCTTTCCTATCAAACCCTGGACTGCAGCCTTACAACAGTTCTGGTGTCTGTTACTTTGACAGTGTCCCAAATGCTGTCATGTTAGAAAAACTGAGAGCAGAAATCTGCTGCCTTTCTCCCATTATTCCTGAAGAATGTAAATGTAATGCATATCACCAAACACACAAAGCAATTCAGGTTATTTTTACAAACATACGCATTTTAGTCCAAGATAACTTTAATTACAAGTACTGAGCAGGAGTTAAAATGATGAATAATGTGTTTCTAACAATCTTGAAGTAAAACTGATTCGGTAAATTACTAATAGGAATTTTCTGATTTTTTTTTATTTTTTCATGCAATTCTTACATAAAATAAATTGATGATTCCTGAGACACTGGCTGTGTAACTGCTCTGTGATAACTCCAGAGATGCAGATAGCAACCTGGAACAGGTTACCAACAGAGCAAGGCAGCCACTACAGCTCCTGATCATCTCAACAAGACCAGTTTCACCTGAGGGTGGATTTTGGGCACGTGCATTCCTGAAGCCCTTTTGCAACTGCAGAGAAGGTTTTCGACTGGGTCGTTTGGTTCAGGTTCAATACCACAGCATTAATTTAACATAATCAGTTCAGGAGACATCTCACCATTGTGCTGCTGAGTGACATGGAAAGAGTAACTCGGTGTAAAGGCTTGAGCCAAGCCCTTCTCTGCCCTCATCAGCTGTTTTACTGACCAGTAAAAAGTTCCTTGGCAAGTCAGGCACTGACTCAAGCAGATTTCACCAAAAGAAACAGAAACAAAACTGCCATTTCTATGTGATCTCCAAGGTCCCTTCCAACCCAAGCCATTTGATGATTCTGTGATTATAAATTTAGCCAGTTCCTGGTTCAAACTCGCAAGGGACTGGAGCAGTTTAACTCTTTCACAGACATTTTGTGGTTTATACTGTAGTGAAAAATATACTTTACCAGCTTTCTAAAAGAGAGCTCAGCTCAACAGCTCAGGAGCAATCAGGGCCTCTCCTATGCACAACCACCAGCACTTAAAAGCACAGGGACTCCCTATTCCCTTCCCTCCTTTTCACAGCGTGGCTGTTCGCAATTCGGCCGTAAGAGGGAGATAAACCATTACTGCATTTCTCCGTCCCCATGCCTCGGTGCAAATCCCAAGCAGATACAGAATTCCAAAGCCTTTGCTGACTCCTGAGTGAATCAACTCAGCAAGGTGTGGAAACAGCTTTCCCGAAGTGTTTCCACAAACTCTTTACTTGTCTAGTGCAAATCACACAGTAGATACTGTCATTTTCGAGAGGTTTCCAAGTAATAGGAAGCAAATATCAATTAGGATCAGGGGAAAAAAGTGAACAGCCCAAGTGATCAGGGAAAAAATCAGATTTAAGATGTGAAACTATAAATCCTGACCAACCCAAATCTGTAACTCATTGATCTGGTCTGGGGTGAACAAGGTTGAGGCTAAAACAGTAACAGCAATGCCTGCAGCTCCAGCTGGTTGTGCCATGAGATTGTATCAGAGCCATTGCTTCAGTTCCTGCATTTTTGTGATTCAGGTGCTGAGCCCACAGCAGTGCCGAGTCAGCCTCAGGAACATGACTGGGCAGTAACCAGCTCTTTGTCTAGACACCATCGAAGCCACGGCACAGAGAAATGTGCTACCTCAGCCATCAGACTGGGAGCTGCTCCACCAAAAACTCCCTCCAGCACTGGGACAAGCCCAAGGAAAGGCACCACAGCAAAATGCAGCAAGTCCAACCCACCTGTCCAGGCTAAAGGAGCGTGAGGACCTCCTATTTCACTGATTTCATCTCGCTAACTCTCAAAAGAATTAGTGCCTTTCACACTAATATCTTTATAACAGATCCCTTTTTCTAAGCAAATAGGTAAAATAAAATCCCCAAACCAGTTCAGGTCTTGGCCCTACAAAGAATTCACATAAGGACAGATGGCTGCAGTTTGCTTTGCAGAGCTGAGGCCCTTGGGAAGTCCAAGCAACTTCATACAGTAAAATGCATCCATTTTGGAAGGGATTTGTAACAGAAATAGAAAACCATTACCATGAGTTTCATATTTCATTGCAACTCTGCAAAGGGAGATAAAATAATCCCGTTTCAGAGAACACTCATAAATTTCACATTTTCTACAAGGGGGCAGCACAACCGCAGCAAAAAAAAGAAAATCCAGCCGTAACTCTTCCCCCACAGCACTCCCTGTGAGACACCAAGGCATTAAATCACTCTTCTCTCTAGCTCCTCCTGCTAAGACTTAGTCCTCTAAGTAGTTATGTCCAACTTCTACCACCAGAGCAAAACCAGGACTCTTTTGACCGAGACAACCAACCTCAGAGATCACCAACACCAGCCTGAGCTCCACACCTTCACTCACTGGCTTCTCCAACCAGCAAAAAACAATGCTACAAACGCAAGACCTTGCAAGAAGCACCCTACCAACATAAAACCTTTCAAGGAAATGTAAATAAAGTCCAGTTCACCCTTACCTTGCTCTGGAGAGCTGTCTGCTCCGCTCACCCCAGGCTCTGGCACTCTCTGTGTTCCCAACTGACTCAGCCCCAGCTGTAGGGGCTCAGTGGAGCAGTTGATCTCACCTGCACCCAGGGCACATTTGAGCCTTTGTCTTCCCTCCCCACCCCACCTCCCTCCCAGGGAAGGAGCTAAGCAGTTTCACCTGCAAAGAGGGACAACCAGCTGTGACCCTGCTTGAATCTCCACTTCCTACCGGGGAGCCTGGACGTAGCCATAATCTGATGCAAAAGTCCATCTTTCCCCAAATGGCATGGAAAAGTGGGGTTTGGCAGCTGCTGGCCCCACAGGTGATTCCTGACAGTTCCAGCTCCCCACTGGCTCAAACATGCAGAACTGGCAGGTCCCCGAGGCTGACACTGCTCCCCAAAATATCCCACCTGCTTCCTCCAGGGATGTCACGAGGGTATAAGGGGTTGGGGTTCTCAAGCAGCCACCCTCAGTGCTTATTATGGGGACAGATTTCTTTCCCCTTTTTACCCACGACTAAGCTCAGTGCAGATTCTCCGGGGTACCGGAGGGTACGGGGGAAGGGGGGGGGCACCGGGCGGCCGCTCCATCTCGAGCAGATTTACAGCAGCCTTCCCAGCCCCTGGCTGTCGTTGGGAGACCGCAGGGGTCCGGAGGGCACGGGAGGGGTTGCTGTGGAAACAGCACGCCCGGTCAGCCGATATCGAGCCCCCCTCGCCCCCCACCCCGCGGCCGCCACTGCCGACGTGCGGGGCCGCGGGTGCGGCTCCGGGGCTGGGATCGGCAGCGCTGGGCTCTGCGAGGGGCAGGGGAACAGGAGGAAAGGAGGTTTATCAAAAAGACAACCTGATGCAGGATACAAGACATGGGAGTTTGTCTTTGGCTGGTTTGTTTTGTTTTTTTTCCTGAGGAACATAAAATCACGGTTTTCCCCAGCAAAACCAAAGTCTGTCCCCAAGACGCCGCTATTTTGCCTTTTGGCACCACTTTCACCGTGGGGCTGCTGAGGAAAACAAGGGGCTGAATCAGAGCTGGTCACCCCAAAGCCCAGCTCATCCTCAAGCTGCAGTGTTTTTTGGGTAGGAAATAAAACATTTATCTGGTTACAAGACTCACCGACGCTCAAATCAAATTTTGAGTGTTTTGGGAAGCTGGTCTCCTCCACAGAAAACAGAAGAAAAAGTGGAAGTTTGGTGGGTAAGCTTAACCCAGGTCCCTGTT